CAGCATTCAGTCTGGCTACACACGTCCGGCGTTCTCGGCATATCGGCCTTTTCCACCAGCCATTTGCAAGGGTCAACACCGTTAAAAATGAATTTGTCACACGACTACCCGCTGTCTGCAATCAATTTTTGCAGCAGTTTCCTTCAGCTGACTTTTTCATCCAATAAAATAGTTCCGATCTGATTTGTTTAGGTTCGCCGGCACACGTAGAACATTTTCTTGATGACTTGGTGCGCGACTGTATGTAATGTGTGTGTGTGTGTGTGTGTGTGTGTGTGTGTGTGTGTGTGTGTGTGTGTGTGTGTGTGTGTGTGTGTGTGTGTGTGTGTGTGTGTGTGTGTGTGTGTGTGTGTGTGTTTGGTTAGGTTTTTTGTTTGTGTGTGTATCGTGTGTTTACTGTTCTTAAAACTGGACTGCTTCCGTAATTGGGCTTCTGCCTGCGGAATGCTTATGTCCTAAATAAACAAGTAAACAAATTTCATCCCTGTTGACTATTTGCTGTTCGAATCGATTGCATTTAACTGTTTTCCAATCGACTTTCTCCATCCATCATTTTACTGATCGTAGTATTCCAAAACGACTCCGTCCATCGTTACTTCCTGCATAAATCCAAGTATCATGTCTGTTTCCCGACGCACAGCTTCGTATCCCGTTTGACTGAGCGGCAGCCGTAGTTGGTTTGACCACAGCTGAAATTTGTCAGCGCTTCCCTGTCTCGGCATGTTTCCCTGGGAGGGGGGGGGGGCAAGGGGGCTCCTCTGGTAACTCTGTTGATGTTGATGTTGATGTTGGTGGCTCTCTGTTAAGAAATGCTGAAGCTAGCCGTGGAGTGAAGTGATCCATAGGTTGTCGTTCAGCAAGGAATCCGTGGATTCGGGTCAAGATCGTGCCTCATGTTCTGTGCGCCTCATCTAAACGTATCTCATATTCCTGCCAACCTGTCGAAGGAATCGAGCAAAAGAATATAATGAAAGCATACCACATCAGTGGTTATCCGCAACCAAGGATTTCAGTGCAATGGTCGATTCACATTTGGGAGTTAAATGTGGCATGATGGTCCTGGCAAAAATCGGTGCCAGTCGGTGAGCGAAATTCCAACAATAGCAGCGCATGAGATGTCATGCAAACGCCCTACCAGAGTGTGCATAGCTGCTTTTTGTTGTTGCAAAGCGCTTACATGAAGCCGCTATCTATAGCTACAAAGTGGTGGTTTCTTCGAAGCGTGGCGGCTGGTTTGACTGTTCAGAGCCGGCGAAGGTGAAAATTGTATCCCTTGGAGGTGGCATCGATGTAAGGTGGCAGAAAAATGCAGCCTTTAGCCTTGCTCGGTGCGCTGTCCAGCATGCAGGTAATCTCATTCAGACCAGCGGTCCTGAATATGTACATGTTTCGTACTTGCGACCATGGAAGACAGCACATGGGCCCGTGACCTCGCTAGCGTGAAACTGGAGTCCATAAGGTTGAGACTTCTCTTTCCCCGCCGGCCGGCGGCCGGATGTTGGTACTCCGGGTGAGTCCACTGAGCTCGCGCGTGCCCTTGGCATGACACGTCGGACATGTCGCGCGGAAACGTCGTTTATAATGAGATCGAGAGAGATATAATGAGATTTATAATGAGACGCATGAGATCCGCACCGAGGAGCTGGCGACTAGAAAACAGAATCAGATATCATCCTTGTCACGCAAATCATTCGCCACGATCTCTTCGAACCCCATGCCAAAACCTGCGATCTCTATCTATCTACACACCGTCATAGTAGTTTTAATCTTCGATAGATGGCAGCACCGTCCGACTGTACCGGCAGCTAACATTCTACGCCAGCGTCATGCACCGGCCGGTTGGGCAAACAAGCGTTATCGTGGCGCCCGGCGGGCTGATAAGGAGCGGCCCGACGGCGAATCAGGCGCCCGGGACGGCACTGCGGTACCCCCCCCCCCCCTCCCCCCTCTCCCCCACAGCCGAACAGCCGTGGATTGCGGCCAGAACCGTGGGGCTGGAGAAATGTAGGGCAGATATAATCAGAGCGAGCAGGAAGACTACACCTGTGATGAGACAACCGGGAGCACCATGAGACCCAAGCTTTGACGAATTTAACAAGCTCCTCTCGAAACATCGACAAGCCGAGCCCTGGCCCAGGACCAAATTCAGTTGGAACGGGCAGGCCTTCCAGCTTGCAGCTGACCTTAAAAAAGAAACCGTGTCCTATGGACATATACGAGGGGTAATCCCGTGTTTGTGCCCCTCCCATTACCAAATTTGTATATGCATAAGAAGAAGAAAACTTGAAAAATCGTCGCTAACACGTCATAATAAGCAAACTGCAAATTGTGGAACTTTGATTCGCTATGCGAGAAACTTCGCGCCCCACGGGACCGCAAAAATTGATTCTTTGGTGATTTTTAAAAAATCTTCCGCCGGTTCGAAACTTTGCACATCCCCGGATGCTCCCTATCTCCATGAAGTGATTTCGCGAGATGACCTCCACTGGTTGGACCTGCCGCCTCCTGAGATCCCAAGTTGGTTGCAAAGCACGTAGTCCGCCGGGCGCGTATGCATCATATATCTTCACGGCCGAATGGCTTACGACAACCAAGAGGGGCTCCAGGCGCGTCCAGGTCTTCCCCTCCCCCACAAAACTAAAGAAATAGCCGCCGGAGTCCCAGGGAATATTAAGGGATGCCGCCAGAGCATCCCACAGCAGCCCAGCACCCAGTGACGTAGGATTTGAAGTCACCCGCAATAGTCAGCGCGGGCGTATGACAAGGGTGACAACGGTCATTGACTGCGGCATTGGCAGCGGCTCGCACAGTGGCCCTCCTCGCTCCATAGTTCTGGCGTTGCGCAAACGCGAGGTGAGTGTACAAGCATTGTCATAGAGCCACGAAGGATATTACCACGTATTTATTTAGGGGTGTTAAGTATGAAATTTATTATTATTACTAATAATTATTATTATATATAATAATACATAACATTATTAGGACCACGTATTAAAATAGAGGGTGTGAAGCCCGACACACAGTGCCTAGCTTTTGGCCACGGCCACACAAGTACGTAAGGACACTTCTTCTACGACTGCCTAAGCGCTTCTCATATGGGCACCTAACAGTTTGTAATATTGTATTACAAATAATCAAGATATTCACACTTTTTAGAACCTACAATGGCGTAAAATGAATGCGGATATTTAGATATGCGTTATAAGTTTGTTTTGTTTAAAGGGAATGTTTCACATTTGTAGAAATTGAAGTGAGCATCAGGTATGATGAAACAAGCTCACTTATAACTATTGGTACATTTTTTTTTAATGGAAAGACTACTCTAGGCGTCACGATGATCTGTTTAGTAAATATGCTCCTCAATGCGTCACGGTTTGATTACGTCATCGTACCTTGCACAGCATTGATTAAGAGCTATTGACTGCCGTTATATTTGAAAATGGCGCTCGTGAGCGCCAGATATGAATGCCTCGATAATGACATTTTTCTTGGTCTTGATCGTCGGACGGCTTATGGAATGGCAGGATTTGAAAGGCGCTGTTACGACGTCATGTATGCCAAGGTGACTGAAATATTCCCCTCGATACACCTTTCGCCATTTTAATGGTTGTTTAGCTCAGAAAAAAATGGGGGGCTTATGTCTTAAGGACAGGATTGCAAACAGCACCGAAAGGTCTTCAAGATGGCTGCTTAGTTCAAAACCTCATATAAATGTGGAACACTTCCCTTAAGATTACGCGGCCCAGCGAACGTGTAATACATGCGAGTGAGCCCTGGTCGAATAGAAAGGAGCTTCCATCGCGCAGAAGCGCTCCTCAACTTATCAGGGCATGTGTGAGGTCAGCACCATATGCTACAGGTGGGATCACATGGTTATTTTACACTACGAGTGGTTGAAAACACTCAAAGGAACGTCACGTAATGTAAGCAAAAGTTCTTGACCATGTCCTCACCACTTTGCATAATGCCTTGGTAGGCGGTCTGTCTTTATCCTTTGTATTTTCGCGGCATACGTTGCGAGTCTTCTTTTTTGACAGACCGACGATTTGTCCCGAAGATGCTTCTCCAACTTCGTTCGTAAAAAAATGTCACCATAACGACGTCATGCCACCTCACCCTCGCATTCACCTGGATCTGGCTCATCTGCTTCCACATGAAGGGACAAGTGGAACCATCGGCTTGTAACGCACGTCATCACCCACCAACTGTTGCTCGTGTTTGGGTCGAGTGCGGTGTTCTTGATCCTAACAGAACACCGTTTTTTCGACGTCGCATAGACGCGCGACTTCACTTGCAGGAGAGGTGGATGACCTCAACATTACCGACGTTGTGAAGTTTGTACTCGCAGTTAGACTGTAGCTCACGCATTTGCAGTATAACGGTACTATAACCTGACTAATTATAGATTTTGGCATCGCGCGCAGTAACGTTACGTAGCACGGTGACAATACAAAGACAACAAAGAACTTTCAACAGCGCGGCCGAGATGCCGTTGATAACTCTGTCGCAAACTGATTGCTAAGCACGCCAGAGCCCGCGATAAATCAGGACAATCAGCGGAGCTGTGGCTTTCATGAACACCGGCGCGGTACAAAACGCCCGCACCTGATGAGAACATCACGGACATGCCCACGGGGTCCAAAGGCAACGATCGGTTCCTTGTTACATGTGAGTAACGCTCCGCTGAGTATCTGTGAGGCTGTGTCGCAGATAAGCGCAACGGCTGCGCAGGGATAGGTGTAACCACAAAGGTCTTATCGCCGCCGCATTGCCGATAGCCAGAGGCGGAGGGAGACGGCAGTGCTAGGTGTTCACATGGCGTTTGGTGACTTGCCGTCAACAGCAAATGAAGTGTGCTCAAAAGCATTGCCACTCGGTAATGCTTGGATGCTTCTCAATGAAAATTCAACAATTTCCCGGCGACGCTTCTGGGAAGCAAGCTTCGTCCGCCCCTGGTATAGCGCTATCGGAGGGTGCGCAACATGAGTCGGTTGGTCACCTTCAGGCATTCCGGGCCGAACGTGAAGCCAGTGCGACAGGCATCGAGGTGTGGGAACGGAGGGCCGGCGCACCAGCGGGGACAACGGGAACGGAAGCCGATTGGCTACCGGAAGTAACTGTCCAGGACACATCGGGTCGGACAGGAAGGTAGGCCTGGGGACGGGCGCCGAACACGACGCGAGAGGTGAGACCAGACCGACGACAGTGAGGGTCGTGTCCGAGTACGCGTAGGGGAGTGGCTGGGAAATGGCCAGCGAGCGCCGTTCTCAATGATACGTGGAAGATATATCTGCTTCCGCCCCATCGACTTTCAGCACTGTCGCCTGTGTGCCCTCCAGAAAAAGATGAGAACACATAGTTGGAATGTGGACCCGTTTCCCCTATCGCTCACATTATCCGAATGCAAACCAGAGTTTTAACGCAATAACGTTTTAGTATGGCAGGCGGATCGTTACCGGCGGCAGAAAACAACTGTCGTGAACGGCGAATAACAGCCGTGCAATACCCAGTTGTGTTCCATACTGTGTATTTCGCAATCGCGCGATTTCTTACTCGCCACTGGGAGGATCGCCTCGGTCACAGGGTTCGAGATTTGCCCACAAGCCGTTTTCAAAGACCTCATGCGACACGGGCTCTTCTGCCCAGAGCCAATGTATCTTCCGACACAGATACCAAGTAACAAGGTCGCACCACACGACCACCACAAAAACAGGGTGCCAGGCAAGCAGGGCGGGCGGGGTGGCGTCGTTGCACCGCGATATCTTAAACATATTCAGTGCAGCGTGGCGCTCAGCGGAGGAACGCAGGGTAACTCATGACGTCCTCAGGGGTGACCGGTTCATAGCGATGTTCAAACCTTTCTTTGGGCGAAGATATGGGAAATTCAAGCCAGTGACGGTAAGGCATCATATATTGTCAAATGACAATACATATAGTATGATACAATCGTAAAATATACACGTATATATGTATATATATATACATACATGTGTATATGCGTATATATAACATGCGGCATGGTAAGGTAGGTAAGGTATAATCTGCAGGTCGGTTGTACAGGTGCACCAATGCAAAGCTACACCTCATCTGGATCCTGTCCCTGTCCAGGGAGATGGAGCACGCAGAGCACCCCATCCATATCTAATTTTAGCGCACAGATCCATGCGTCATCAGTCGCGTTGTCATATCATGCCACGTGATCGCGCTATCATGGCGACACCACAGCAGCAGAGCCGCGGCGTAGGCTACACTACCGCTGGCCTGGCTGAGCGCCTGCCGGGTCGGCGATCGTGGAGTCGCCTGATGTCGAGCGTCACATGAAGCTAGCGTTGTCTGGAAGCAAGTGCCAGATGGAGCTGTTGCTGTCTGGAGCCAAGCGCCAGATGGAGCTGAGCGCCTCTGATGATGAGCGCCAGATGGAGCTGGGCTCATCTGGTGACGAGTGTCAGATGGACCAGGGCTCATCTGGTGATGAGTGTCAGATGGACCTGGGCTCGACTGATGATGAGTGTCAGATGGACCTGGGCTCGACTGATGACGAGTGTCAGATGGAGTTGGGCTCGTCTGATGATGAGTGTCAGATGGAGCTATATTCATCCGATTCCCAGCGCCAGATGGAGCAGGGCTCGCCTGATGCTCAGCGCCAGATAGAGCTGGGCTTGCCTGATGCTCAGCGCCAGATGGAGCTGAGCTCGCCTGATGCTCAGCGCCAGATGGAGCTGAGCTCGCCTGATGCTCAGCGCCAGATGGAGCTGGGCTCGCCTGATGCCGAGCGCCAGATGGAGCTGGGCTCGCCAGGTGCTCAGCGCCAGATGGAGCTGAGCTCGCCTGACGCTCAGCGCCAGATGGAGCTGGGCTGGCCTGATGCTCAGCGCCAGATGGAGCTGAGCTCGCCTGATGCTCAGCGCCAGATGGAGCTGAGCTCGCCTGATGCCGAGCGCCAGATGGAGCTGGGCTCGCCAGGTGCTCAGCGCCAGATGGAGCAGGGCTCGCCTGATGCTCAGCGCCAGATGGAGCTGAGCTCGCCTGACGCTCAGCGCCAGATGGAGCTGGGCAGGTCTGATTTCCAGCACCAGATGGAGTTGAACTGGTCTGGTTCCCAGCGCCAGATGGAGCTAGGTGGGTTTGATGCTCAGCGCCAGATGAAGCTGGGCTCGCTTGATGCCGAGCGCCCTGACCGGCAGATGTCGTCGTATAAGGCGGCGTACCGGCCGACCACTGGCGGCTGGTCCGAGCACCAGGATGAGGACGAGTCGCTTTCATCGTTCGTCGCACCACTGATGCTCTTCCTGGTCATCATCTTCACCCTCATGGGCATGATCCCCATGGCCATGACAACCAAAGGTGGGGCGACCGTGGACTCTCGAACGTGGCGTTGAGGCTCGTGGGTGTGATGACCGTGTGGTGCTTGCTGCTGGACTTCTGCTTTGTAGACATCATGTGACAGAAATCGTCCTTGCGTATGCGTGCGCGTGTATGGGTATGGGTCTTCCTGCAGCGATACCCCTACTCTCTTAAGAATATCTCTCAGCATACCCCTGATGGTCAGTATCACACCCAGTGACGTCACGCAAACACGAGCAGAGCACCACGCCGCGCCAGCTCAGCCGTGCAGGCTCCCGCTCAGTTGACGCCCGTCCCTGTTCCAGACTGGGCCAACAGCCAAGGCACGGAGGGTCAATGCATGCTGTACGCCTCGCTGACACAGTACCAGGACATCGGCGACACGTGGGGCAGCAGCATCGGCACGTGCTCGTTCGTGGCGTACGGCACGATCCTGCCGGTGCTGGGTGCCGTGCTGCTGCTCACGCTGTACTACATCCTGCGTGGGCGGGACACGCCCGCCTCCAGCCGCTGGTGGCGCGTCTTCACCACGGCCGCCCTCCTGCTCGGCGCCTACCACCTGGTCATCGTGTGCATGCTGACGGACGGCTACACGCGCACGTGCCTCGCGATCCTGGGCAACAACGCCAACCTGGACAAGTACCAGTACCGCAAGTGCTCCGACGGCCTCGGCTCGCGCGACTCCAACTACAACCACAACTACCCGACGCAGCAGATGCTGACCGTCACGCTAGTCGGCTACTGGGTGGCCGAGTTCAGCTGGATCGGCATCGTCTGGTCCATGGTCATCAACATGCTGCATGCCCAGGGTCTCTACTGCCTGTTGTAGGTCGGCGGCGGCGGCAGATAATCGGGGTGCGGGGAGAGGGCCCGCCTGCCACAGCACCAACCGTATTGGCAGCGCGCGAGGCCGTATGGGCAAGGACTGGTGTGTCCATTCTCGACGTGTTCGTCTATCCGACGGCGGACACCTCTCCGCTGTGGAAACCGCGAATCAAGGGCCCTTTACACTAAATGCTAATCAAATGACGTCCGAATGATTCCATGCGTTCTTTTCAAGTTATTTCTGTGTACAAATGTATGCGCTGTATGATGCGATCGCACAGTCATGCCGCGTACGCTGAGTTGTATGGTTTTGTATTTCTTTAGTGGCGCCGTCTGTAATTCATTATTCGTCCCCGCGTGCACTAAATTGTTCGCCGCTTGCGATACGACATGATCAGACGGCAGGCAATTCATGACAAGCAGAACGCATCGAGCATCAGTCCGAATTTGGGCAGCCATTTTCATTTTCTTCTCGAAAGTTTGCATTATGACACGTGATCACGCTTGTTGTGTTTCTCGGGGTGCGCCTACTTGCGCGAACGCTGCGAGGCACGGTGCTTTCAATAGGCTTCCGGATAGCACACGCGTGAATTTCTTGCATAAAAGTGATTCATTGTTTAGCATCTGTTTCTCGCTGACATGAAGCTGAAAACGCTACGTGACCTCATACGTTATGCTGCTACTTATCCTGATAACCTTTGCATCCACCCATGCGTAGTGCAGGTGTGCACAGCGTAGCACAGAGTATGGATGCATGCAGTGAATTCGTAGGGTAGAGCGTGCGGCATTGTTTTTATGCCTATTTTATTTGTATGCTTCTCGTTGTGATTGTACCTGCAAACAATTGGCCGATTTGTTTTTCATTGGTCCTTGGCAACGTTAACCTTTTGAGGCCATTTCATATAATCGGCAGCTTTTACGTAGCATAATGTGTATCCCTACTGACACCAACGCGCCTTTGCCGTTTTCCCACGCCCTGGCGTCACTGATGGGAGCCAGCAGCAGGTCGGGAATGGCCCTCGAATGATCGATGCGCATTTACATGCGACGTCTGATGTTTTGTACGCTCCTTAGAACAAGGTTATCCTAGATTGCGCTCTCTTCTTGCCATTGTGTGACACCGCGCGATCTTGTTTTAAGCTTGTGGACGGTGTTTGGTACGATAACTACATACATAAAATGCAGGGGCGGGTGATGCGCACGGCGCAGAAACCTTGAAATCTTCTCGCCGGTCAGTCGGTCTCATCAGGGGGGGGGGGGAAGGGGGTCAGACAAAACTCGCCGCTTGGACACCATGCGCTGAGTACACGTTGGTGTCGACGGACCTCGGTCAGTCAATAGAAAACTGAGACGATGATTCAGGCAGGGAGTTATGGGACCGAGAGTCGCCCCCGACTCCGGTACTAGGCTGGGCCCGAGACGCCTCTGGCCGGTGCCCACCGCCAAGTCAGGACGCCCTAAGGGGTAACCAGAGAGGTGATGGTCCACCGACAGCATCGCCAGGGCGGTGGAAACGAAACATGACAATGAAATCAGGTCGAAATGGAGCGAAACTACCAACCTCAAGAATGTCTCCTACCTCGCTCTGCTTAAGGTCAGACCAGTGTATCAGGAGATATTGGCGTCCATTTAAAACATGCATGCAACGGCATGAAGTAGTGTTATTGGAGCATTTACTTTCTAAAGGGACAACGCATCGGGTAAAAAAGTGTGAAATCGACCTAAAGCCTTTCTACGAATGATCTGCTGCTTACTTTCCTCCACTTGACACACACTTCCGTCATCGAGCAACAATACAACAAATGCTCTTTTCTGGGAAGCATTTAGACATTTGTTTAGCACATCGTATGCGCAAATAAGGGATCTCTTTTACGTCAATGAGGACCCTTAGGTCGGCCAGGGTCCAAATTCCCGGGCCAGGGGGCTTGCGGCGTCAGGCAGGCGACCAATGTACATGCACGCATGCCGTGCAACACCAGAAATGCAGCCGGCAAGCATCCCGGGCTGGGATGGAACGGCCCTTCAGCTGCCGGCTGGTAAACATAATGTGCCCTTAGTGTTCTACCCACTGGGCCCTTGCTCGGCAAAAAGGTGAGAGATTTTCTTAGTGCTATATAGGACAAATCAAAATCAGATAAAAAACGAAGAAATGCCAACACAAGCGAGGACGTCCATCCAGGGTTGTAACTTTGTTTTCGGAGTGCCTGAGCCCCCCCCCCCCCCCCCCCCCCCCCCTCCTTTCGCCAGTGCTGACTTTAAGGGAATGTTCCACCTTTGAAGATATTGAAGCAAGTATCAGAAATGATGAAATCAGTTGTAGTGATTGATACCCTTGTAAGTAAAAGCGACTGCTCTACGCAAAAAAAGTTCTCAATTTAGTAAATATGCTTTATTCGATTCCGTCTCCGCGAAGGTGCGCACGAGTCGGCGGTCAGAACTACTGTATTTCCGTGCTCCGCGAGACGCTCTGCCATCTACCGTTCGGTCTAGATACTACTTCTCGCGCGCTATACTCGGCACTCGCACATGCTTCTCAATAAGTCATTGCTTGATTGCGTCATGGAACGTTCGTACGACGATAAGGTGCTGCCAGTCCAGCCGTGCGAGCTTGTCACTAGCGCTTTCCTGTAGTACTTCAATTCGCCGAAAGATGGCAGTGACGACGCAGGAGGTATTCCGAGCCAAATTTTGTGTTCGCGTCTTTGCCGTTTCTCGTGTTGTTCTTGCAAGAATTTCCGTGAGTTTAAGAAGAAAAATTGCATTTACATACTCAGTTGCGGTGCAGTTCTTAACACATGCCGAGGTGGCCGGTTGAAATACTCGTCGCTCGGGTGGGGGCCAACTGGATGAGCTGAGATTTCAGGAACTTGGGGGAGACAGAAATCATCCGTCCTCCTTATCCCCTATCTCGCTTCATCTTGCACCCTCGCGACGCCCCGCTTGTCCTGGGCGGGCCGCGTGCGTCAGCCGCGAGTGTGCCGATATCTCTGTGGGAAGGGGAGCCCGGCCGGGTACCCAGCGCGCATGCGCGGGTTAAAACTCGGCGGTTGGCCCCTCAGGCGCATGCAAGTCTGCCCCACCGCGAGCCACTTTCCTTCATCCCATAACCCTGACAAAATTTTCTGGTTGAAAGGCTCTAATCCAAAAACAAAACAAAATCGACATAGAAACACTCAGACATAGCGTGTGTTGCCCCGTACGTAAGCCCTCTTAAGTCAAAACATCAAGCTAATAGTTATCGCCAATAATGTGATGGTGGCCTGCCGGACGTTCACTACCACCGCTCCCCTTCTTACTAATGCGCTGGCATTCTGGTCAAATAAGGTAAAACATAGTCGAATTCTAGGTTGCTGTCCAAAATGCTTTCAGACCATCTCATGTGACCACCGTAAACCCAGATATCTGATCTGAGCAAAAGGTCACAGGTATTCACTTGAGGTCAGTGACCTTGCTCGACCTTTTTAAGGTCATCTTGACCAAAAGCCTATAATACTGCTGATTTTTGCACTTAAATAACCGTCAAAGATTACGCCAGGCAGCATGTTTTTAAAAAACGGAATGTTGGTCTGTGTCATTTTAGTTCAGTGGCCTATTGTGATCTTTACGCTGCCCATAAACGAGATGTAATGCGGTTCCTGTCATCAATAAATTCAAAATCAACACTAGAATTTACCCCAAACAGCCAGCTCTAGAGTAATAAAACATATTGGTTTTGGCCTTGGCCTCGCCTTCATATGTGACCCCAGGTCAATGTTATTTGTGCATTCAACTGTTGTGTTGCACAAGAAGCTATCTCAGAGACGCATGGCCTCGTCCAATACTCCGTTGTTGCATCATATTGAGTGATTCCCAACAAATTGTCTTCGTTGAATCCGTGGTCTGACTTTGACCTGTCGTAGGTCAGTGACCTTACGAAGCACATCTGAATTTTTTTATGTCAAATGATTTGCCATTGAATTGTCTAGAGCCAAAAGCAATGGGCGAGGCTGCGCAGGCCGTTCGGAAATCGCTGCGCAAAAGCTTTCGGGCAGTCAAATTGACCATCCAACCGAGCGTGTCTTCAATTATTCGATTGCAAGCCCCATTTCCTCAGTAATTATCAATCCTATCCAACTTTTTATGTGATGCAGCACAGAACATGATTCCTTGATCAAAATCATATAATAATCATATTAAACTATATGGTGTTGGTACGGTGTCGTCCAATAATCATAATCAACTTGCACACATTGCTCAGCATTAAATGGAAGTCAATAGAGGTACATCTGACCTGATTCAAGGGTCAGGCAGGATGACACATGCCTTCTCTTTTCAGGGAGGAAAAACGCTTGATCTTTGTAGCTCTAGCCTTGAAAGTAACCCCCCTCCGCTGACACCCAGACGAAATCACTGGTGCATAATTTGATATTAAACTTACTGAGAGGAGATGACCACGTGCAAAAATCGTTCATGCCTGTGTACGAAGCCAGGCCTCAATGCGCTCTGGAATGCATGTCCTGGAATTTGTGTTGGGGCTGCCTTTTACCAGTTCACTGGAAAGGGGCAGTTTGCGAGATGCGTGCGATTACCGTGTAGTATGCGGCAGCGTTGGTATGGTGTTGTCGTCCAGCGGCATTCCTCTCAGCATTCTTTCGCGCGTTTCCGGCCCTTCGGCTGACGGATGTGGCCGGACGGGAGCCACCGTCGTTGTTCGTCCTGATCCCACCTGAAGGGACATCGCTGGTGACCGCGTCCATCCTGCCTCGCCGCTGAAGTCTGGAGGCGTAAGTGATGACACTGTCCGTCTTATCTCCCCAGGCTGCTGGTGGAGCGGGACGAGCTGCTTGTGGTGGTGCCATGCCCACGCTGCCGGTCGGCCACATCAGCCCGCTGCTGCTGACCGTGGTGGAGACGCCGCACCACGCGAGCCGGCCGGACGGCAGCGGCGACACACCGGTGACCAGCGGACCCGAGCAGCTGATCGCCGACTGCGTGCCGAAGCATGAGACGGCACCTGATGTGGTGCTGGGCGCGAGCTACCGCCGACCTCGTCCTGATCAACGTCCTGACGGCAATAAGCCTCGTCCCTACTCGCTACCGGTGGATCACCAGCCTCGTCCCTACTCGCTACCGGTGGATCACCAGCCTCGTCCCTACTCGCTACCGGTGGATCACCAGCCTCGTCCCTACTCGCTACCGGTGGATCACCAGCCTCGTCCCTACTCGCTACCGGTGGATCACCAGCCTCGTCCCTACTAGCTACCGCTGGATCACCAGCCTTGTCCCTACTCGCTACCGGTGGATCACCAGCCTCGTCCCTACTCGCTACCGGTGGATCATCAGCCTCGCCCCTACTCGCTACCGGTGGATCACCAGCCTCGTCCCTACTCGCTACCGGTGGATCACCAGCCTCGTCCCTACTCGCTACCGGTGGATCACGTTTCTCGCCTCCCGCACTGTTTCAGGTGTTGGATACCCGCCCGACGGTTGCAAGGGCTGCTATCACGATGGAGTTCGGCGGGTCCGCGGCTTTGTTGCTCATTCCGCGTTGGAACGCATGCTGCTTATATGAATTCCCCCCGGAGCGTTTTACTTCTTTTTACAAACTTGGTAAGCAGAATGGCTGAATGACTGTAGCGTGCCGCAATGCTAGGCGCAGTCCGCCCTGCGTCATGACGTCGTGATTTTAGGTGACCGGCTCCAAGCACGGCCGGTGATGCTCCAGAGCACACGACCACGGATGACTCGGGGGATATGGCAGCGGGCTGAGCATGGTTGGTGGTGCTCCAGAACACACGGCCACGGATGACTCGGGGGATATGGCAGTGCGCTGGGCACGGCTGGTGGCGCTCCAGGGCACACGGCCACGGATGACTCGGGGGATATGGTAGTGGGCTGAGCACGGCTGGTGGTCCTCCAGGGCACACGGCCAAGGGCGACGCAGGAGACGTGGCTTGCAGGATTGACAGAATGTAATGGAATAAAGTAGCGCTGCTAGAAGATTATATATAAGAATAATAATATGCATAATATATATATATATATATATATATATATATATATATATATATATATATGACTGTATTTTGCAGAGCATCCTCAATGCTTATTAACCTGAAATTCACAGCGCGAGTGTCGGCCATGCGCGCGCACATCCCTCTACGTGCCGGGGCCCTCCACGCTAACGTGAAACGCCACTGCGATTGCCTCGCCCTGCCCGGTTATCGTCTGAGCAGGACAACTCTGGCCGCACGTCTACATGAATCAACAACTTTATCAACGCAACACAGATAGCCGGACCAGGCTATGAGACCATGACAAGGCAGAGCCCCTCCCCCCCCCCCACACCCCCCGATGTTTGCCCAAAGGCGCCACTTCCCGTCACGTCAGCGTTGACCTCAGCTGACACGGACGCCGCGCCGCCGCGGAGCCGTCGGGCACATTCGACCCTCTTATCCTCCTTCGTATTTTCATCCTAAATCCTCGCGACGCCTCACGTGTCCGGCACAGGCTGCATGTGTCAGTCACGAATGCGCCGAGACGCCCCCTGGATGGGGACCCCGACCGGGCGTCCAGCGCACACCCCGCAGAGGGGTCCCCGCGCGGCTAAGGCTCAGCGGTTGACCTCAGGCGCATGTAGTTCTGCCTCGCCATAATCCATTCTCCTTCACCCCATCGCCCTGAAGCGGTCATTTCTGGTCGAAAGGGCTCTGATCCAAACAACCAAACAACCAAACAACCAAACCACCAAGCCACCAACCAAACAACTAGACAACCAAACGGTCATGCGCGGGGTGCCGAGGAGCAACAGTGGGCAGGCGGCCGCGGGTAGGTGCTGCCACAGACGAAGTTCATCAGCGTGCCGACAGCCGCCGCCCGCACCGTCGGCCCCGCATGGTTCTCGTCCAGGCACTCCATCTTCAGTGGCGCCGGCATCGCGGTGTGGTTGGCGGCCAGCGGCAGGCACACCGAGTGCTGCACGCGCAGCGTGTCGGCCAGCGAGGACGTCCACGGCCGAACGCCCCGCACCTGTAAACGAGCCGTCAGCCGGCACGGTGACCTGTAAGCACGACGGGTTTCGACCCGGCCATGGCGACCAAGTGAGCGAAATGGCGTGTATGGATATTGAGACTAGATACTACACCAACGGCATTTTGTGATGAGAACTGATGTTTAAGCGCGCCGCTTGGTGTTTGCATTGCTCGCTGAATGAAACGGGTATATGTACACTCACAACGCGTCTAAAGCATTCATACCGCCGTTTTGGTCAGCTCACCTGACTTAGAAATTCAAGACCCAGTGCATTTAAAGCCAAAATGACAGGGCCAATCTTAGATCTTCTTCCTCTACCCTCCAGAAACTCCGGCCCGTCCAGCTTGTACACGATCTGGGTGTGAGCTGCCAATGTCTGCAAGGTGGGCATCAGCTCCAACCACTCCATCCGAAACTTCATGACCCGCTCCCGCAGCGGATCGCCCATGTGCCCGGGTGGCTTGGCGTACCACAGGCCGGCCGTCATGACCACCAGGTCGGGGCACTCGCGGCCGATCTGGCACTCCGCCGTCAATCCGGCGAATACCTCCCGGTGCTGGTCAGCTACCCGCGGACTCCAGTAGAATGTCCATTCGAGCTGTCCACCTGGGTCCTCAGAGTCACACGCAAACCTGGCGCGCCTCATGCCTCTGAAGATCTCGATGCCGATGGTGCAGTGTTCGGGCATCCCATGAACGACCTGGCTTGAGTTCCGCTTCCTCTTGAGGTCCTCCAGAAGCTTGCCCTTCCAGCGGAGGCCTCTCTTCTTCAGCAGCTCCTCAAAGAGGATGCGGCTGCGGGAGTCACCGATCAGTACGATGCGGACCGGGCGCTGCCGCCGCGCGTACAGCCGCCGCAGGCAGGTGGTCACCTGACTCGCCGTCAGCACCTCGTCGCCGCAACTGGCCAGCGAGGCGGCCTCCGACTCCCAGGCCCGTCGTGCCTCGGAGATGCTGAAGACGCTGCTGCACCGGTCGTCGCTGGACGCAGCTACGTCGCCTGGGCACACAGAGATACGGTGGTTGGTGTCAAAGTGGCAGCAACGAAGCACCTTACCGCGCTTCGTCTTTCCTCCGAGAGCCTCAGGCGCGCCCGGAAACCCGTTTTACAGGCATCGCCTGATGGACCGCTCGAGTCATTACAAGAGTCCTCTTTAAGCAGTGTAATGCAATGCAATGCACGGAAAGAAAATGCTTAGTGTCTGAAAACTTCATATTCGTGAAAATCAGGATCATGTGACAGCACAGACAGGAAATTGTACCGGAAATTATGTATTTGCCAAATCCACCCGTTACCAACCCGCTGCCTCATCATATACAGGAAATGATTCATTTACCCAATCCACCCACTATCAACCCCCTGCTTTATCAGTTACACTCACACGGTATTGTTCTTTATCAGGCCACTACCCAACTAAGTCCATTTTTTGTAACACTTTGGTTGTAGATTATGGAAAAGTTTTGGGAAAGCGAATTCCAGATTTACCCTGTTCGGTTCGTAACGGCAAAAGTAGGGTGAATGAGGCTACTTATGTCTCACAGAAACGCGCCTGTGGCATTGCGCAGTATGTCTTGAAGTAGTTAACTCACACTCACATTTCGTAAACGTCTTACTCATCGTGCCTGTACCTTAACTGTACCCATTACCAAAATTGTCCCCAAATCCGTACCCAACCCATCCCATCCCGTTCGAGCACCCATGGGGTTACCCCAACCTTGAAGTCCTTTCAACACCCTCAGCAGCAAGCGTCCACAGAGGAGGGGGGGGGGGGGGGGGGAGCAGAGAAGGAAACAAGGCACGGCACAGGTTGCGTCGAAGTCGGGTTGCACATATCTGAAAGTGGGAATATCTGAAAAGTTGCACATATCTGAAAGTTGGATGTGCAATGTGTAATGTGTGTAAAATGTGCAAAAATGTAAGAAAGTGTAGTTGAGTAATAACCTGACCCCTTGCCGACGGCCAGTAGCTTTACATTAAATCTGGGCGGTCCTGTTTTGGCGATACTTTAAATATACATTATATATATATATATATAATATATAATATATACATATATGTACATATATATACATATATATATATATATATATATATATATATATTCATTAGAAACGGCCATTTTGCGTTGCTGCACGTTCATGTGCACACTTGTCAATTAAAATTAATGTGCCAATCCGCCAATCAATCCGCCAATAATAGTCTCTGCTGACATTTTCGAAACATACTCCTCAGTACTTTCCTGTCGAACGATTATCTCACCTGATCGATGCGTCATGTGCGTGATAACAATGATGATAACGGCTGCCACGGGAATCGATCTGAAGGCGGGGTTAAGCCATTACTCCGATGCCGATACGGTTTCGTCGGCGCTTTCCCTCCTCACTCAGGCATCTTTGATCGACTGCATGTGTCATCATCCATTGCATGCATGCCCATCCAAAAGAGTACCTGCAGAACACTAGTGGTACAGCGTGACGGCAGATGCAGCTCTAACGTTAAGTGTTACAGCGGCCGCAGTGCAGGACCCTCTCAGCCGCTCGGCCACCGCGGCCGCGACAGGCTGCCGGGGGCCGCGGCCAGCGCGCTGGTGTTGAGCGTGCGGGCGGGATAGTAGGCGGGAGCTGGCTAATGTGAAAGGCGTCAGAGAACGCCCATGTGCTGGCCAGTGAGTGTTTGCTCACTTTGGCGAGCGCCGCTTTGAAGCGCTCACGTTCCCCTCCCCTTGCCCCGTGCGAGGGACGCAGCCGCGCGGGCCAGGAGAGGGGGCAGTAACAAAGGAAAGACTCGGACAGCCGCCGGCGCGGCGACGAACTGTGTGGAGCGCTGTGACGATCAAATACAGGATCAAACGATCAAATACAGGAGTGGTTCTGGACGTACCGTGCGTACCAGCTGGAGGCGAAACACCAGAACAGCAGAACTCACAAAGTGCGTGTCATCGGCCCGGTTGCGGATGGCTGCAGGGGTCAGTTAGTGTGACGACCTGCCTTAATGGTTGGATACGCTAAATATGTCATGGTTTGATTACGTCATCGTAAAAAACACCACATAGGTTGAGAGCCTATTCACGACCGCTTGCCCGGAAATTGTGCTCACGAACGCCAGATATGCGCGACTCAACAATCACATTTTCTTGCCCTTGATCGCCGCGTGACGAATGCAATGGCAGGACTTGAAAGGCGTTAATATGGTGGAATGGATGCCTCCGTGACCTTGAGTTACTTCCCCCGAAATAGTCTGCACGTCTTCGCGAACGTATAGCTCAGAAACTAGTGGGATTTAGGCCCTCCAAATGATTTTCAAGACGCCTATTTCAGTTCAAAACTTCACACAAACGTGGAACACTCCTTCTAACAACAAATGTGGAACACTCCCTTTAACAGTAGCAGACAGCAGCGGCGGTAGCAGCACAAAGCTGGGCAGTGGTCGTGGCGGCGGTGTAACGCTGGAAAACAGCATAGACCGCTAGGCACTGGACGGCGGCGGTAGGTACTGGCACTTCATGATCCACCAGCGGCCGAAAGTGCTGCACAGCTGACTTGACGCCGAGGCAAACTGCTTTGGTTCCACCTGCAGATCCAGGGCGTCTACTATATCTGGGTATGTGGCCAGCACCGCGGTGTGATTTAGCCGCTCCTGGCATAGGGTGGAGCGCAGCCATCCCCTCAGACGACGAAGAAGACCGAAAGCCCGCCCTGCCCTGCACGATATTGCTGGAGAGGCCAGAATCAAACGCAGTAGCGAGGCAGCGGCTCCTGCTCCTGCTCCTGCTCCTGCAGTAGCGAGCCAGCTCCTGCCGCAGGCCCTCGTCACCCAGCAGGGCCACCACGTCGTCAAGGGTGTCGAGCGGGGCGAGGTCAGTGGTGTTTTTCTCTGGCCTGACGCCACATGCGCCAACATCTGGCGGTGGAGGCCAAGTCGCTCCAGGTGGAGGCTACAGAAGATGGCGGTTGCCACCAAGGCGTTCTCTTCCGCCGTGAGGAGTGCTCTCTCGGCCGTGATCAGGAAGGGCTCATCTGAGCCGAACCCACCGCCAAAGCCGGCCAGACAGCCGACGGCTTCGCCGTGCACCTGGCGGTGGCGGTCTTTGGGACAGGCAGGCTGGTGCGGCTCGGCGTCCTCGTCCAAACGCCGAGGCGGTCGCATCGGGCGTCGTAAGTCCACTAAGTAAGCCCACGCACGTAAGTCCATAAGTCCACTCCTAGGCGTTCTCTCCGCCCAAAGGCGGACGTCCGCTCCTCCCAAAGGCGTTTCGAAACGGTCACTCTGGGACAGGATGACATCCAAGAGCGCACGACCCTCAGGTTGGCAGACACCGACTGCACCTGTCCCAGTATAGTGCGCATGGCGGGTGTCGTCACTTGAAGCACGAACAACGTCACGCGCAAGCTGAAGAAAAGCCCAAACTCTCAGAGGGTTCTGCCAAAGCCGCTAGCAGAAGCTGCGACCCTCGGACGCACCTTAGCATCATCCGCGAGTTCTCCCACGCTGGTCACCAGAGGCTCGAAGCCCTTGACCACGGAGGTCAGGCGCGCCTCGCTGCAGGTCCATCGAGTGGGGTGCAAGGGATGCAGAGACGTCTGGGCCCCGGCGTGCTCCAGCGCCACCATTCTCCTCGACGACTCGCGGAAAAAGAACGGCCAAGCTCCTGGATGGCGTCGTGAGTCTCGCGCACGCCACTCAGCACCTCCTGGCAGACCAGGCTCAGGCTGTGGGCCGTGCAGTGAGCGAACACAGCGTGAGTTCCTCCACCTCAGGGCCTGTGCTGTCAGCCGGCTGGTTGCGGCCGAGTGGCCGGGAGCAGCACTGCTGCGGCGGTTGTGCTGGTCCGGTGTGAAACATCGGTATCCATTGGCATTGGCACCAAGGTGATGCCGGCCCGTACTAACAGGGGAACGCGTCCGGAGAGGGACGGGTCACCAGGAACGAGAAACACTTCGTCGTTAAGTAGCACGGTATATTGTGCTCTTAGTTTTTTCCTTCTTTTGAATTAGAGCTCCTTCGACCACAAATGATCATTTCAGGGCTATGGGGAAAAAGGGAAATGGTTAACATTGGGGCAGACTTGTATGCGCCTGGGAGGGGAGGATGATGTCAACCGTCGAGCTTTAGCACGCGCATGCGCGCCGGGTACCCGGTCGCGGTTCCCCTTCCAACGAGGCTCTCGGCCCACTCGTGCCTGACGCATGCAGCCTGCCCCGAACAAGTGGGGTGCCGCGAGGATACGGGATGAAGCAAGATAGAGGGTAAGAGGGTCGGATGTGTAAGCGGCTCTCCACACAATTTCAAAGGACAGTGATGACGTCCTTCCTATGTCTGTTCGCCTCCCGGACCTCAGCCGATTGGTAAACACCAGAGAGCGATGGTCGACATTAACACCATCAACACTGCCCACCGTATACAACGTGAGAACAAACTTTAAACACATACAATTATTACAGAATACCACACAGAAAACCACATATATGTGGCCTTCGTAACTACGCATGTTCGAGCCACCTGGCGGTGACTCGCTCGTCATAGTGTTGGCATCGCGCCGCTAGAGCAGCACTGGCCACTAATTCCGTCCAACGGGAGCTGGAGGCCAGCGAGGGTATCCTGGATGACACGGAAGAGTGCCTCGGGAGTGAATGGGTAGCCTAAGAAAGTCCAATGAACGTCTCCCTGACGTCAACCGCCTGTGACAAAGCGCAGGCCGATGGCCACGTGCTCGCGTCCTGTCACGCCTGCCGTCTCGTCCACCACGGTGACCAAGGTTCCAGCCGCGCCCGCATCGTCTACCACCCTCCTAATCACGGCAGTCGCCAGCTGCCTCTACAGCTCCACCAGCGCCTCCAGACTGGGAAAGCACATCCGGCCCGCTCTGCGCCAGGCGACCCGGCGCCCCAGCACGGGATCGCGCTGGGCCACGGTCGTCAAAAACCAGATGACGTTTCCGGCCTCCTCGTCCCGGCGGCAGAGGGCCAGGCCCTGCTTTGAGCGGAACGATGGCGTCGAATATCTGCCGCGGAGTGTGCCGCGCCTCCCCCTGCTCCTCTCCTTGCCGGCGCCGGCGAGCGCTACCACGCCGCTTGGTCCGCTAGCCGTAGTCAGGCTTTGTACGGCCAGTTGGTGGCAGGCGCTGGCTTTGTGGGTTCGAGAGCGCTTCAGCGCCCGCTTCCACGCACTAAATCCTCGGGCTGGGAGGACAGCGTCACGCTTTGTGACGCTGCCCTGAGGCCCATAGCTCTTGGGTGCCACGCATCTTTGGCAGAAGACGCCCTTCGAATGTGAGTTGTGCTCCAGCCGGGGGTGACGGCGCCGCCACTCGGGTTGGAAGGTGCACCGGTGTCGTGGCAGTGCTGGGGCGTCGCCAGATGTCTCGGCGCGGTCGGCGGAAGGCCTGGTGACTCAGGATCTGATGGCTCGACTCGCTCGGTGATAGGATCAGATGGAGTAGGTGGAAGTGTATGATGCTCCAATTAAAACCAGAGATGTGCTGTACATTTAATAATAAAGGGTTTACCTTTATACATATCCAAGTGAGCTTATTTGTTTATGCTATACAAAAATTGACAAACCTATGGAGGTTGATTAATTTTCCATCACCTAGACAACGGACCCTCTGAGGTTCTCACACGACAAAGAATTTATCTATTTTTTGTTTGGGCATGAGTGCTTGTTCATATAACATGATGTCAGATCAAGGAACTGTGACGAACAACACCATGCAACATTTCAAGCAAATGAATTTGGACAGCAGAGACACAACCCAAATGTTTGGTTCATACAAAATATAATGTGTTCATTGTGAAACTGAAAGAATGTTATGAAGGCTACAGTCCACTCCAGGATATATGTTCACATAGAAATGATGAGGCTTTATACTGAGAACACAGAATACACACCAGCTAGGCACCCAAAATGAGAAGAAAAAAATTAACCTGACAGACCAGTACACTGGAATCAATGTCTGCCAGCCAGATCTAGCCTTCCCTGTCAGACAACAAAAAAGCCTACAGATATCTAGTACATCTTTGTCATTTGCCTGTCCCCCAGACATGAGCACTTGTGTTTGATAAAGTGTTATAGATATGTGGGAAAAGTCACTAGCATCACATAAGCCTGATCATTGGGGCTACACATTTTGTGCTTATATTGACTAAGTGTTTGCAACATATTCAGGAAACCTTTAGCTATGCCTGAAAGAAGTAATGCATGTCTTCATGTGTAAATGACCAGAAATATTTGTGTACATATATATATATATATATATATATATATATATATATATATTTGTATGTACATATAATATAACTATAAATATAACTATATATACTCCATAGTGAGAGCCCTCAGGACATAACACACTCTAGAACCTGGTATCACTGCAGGAATGTTAGGCACTGATACTACAATAACTTTGAATATTTTTCTCTAACATTCAGGTGTCCATCTCAATTTCCAGGAATGACAAGCAGTGTTCTATCATACAGGACCTATTTCCTACTGTTCCGCTAAGCCTGAAACAGCCACAGCAGCAATTGCTCACATTGAGCAGGCCATACTGATGTGAGAAGTGATTGCTATATGCTTTAAGGATGTGAAGAACTGTACTTCTTGGCAGTTGTACTTACTGTTTGTTAAAGAAAAATCTGATGCTTGGGCATTTTGACCTCTCCATCATGTCACTCATTTACAATGTCTGAGACCTTGCTATCAATAGAACTGCAGGTGCAGAGGATGTCCTGGAATGAATCACAACCATTAGGCACCCGAGTACAGAGTTATGATGCTATCATAAATATGGGCTTAAAGCAGGAAAAAATTGCCTGCAGTGGATAACAAAAGCATGCACATGGCAAGGGGACCAGCATGATTGTCTTTCTGTCAAGGGCATTCCGGTGCAGGTGGGGGCACCTCTGACCATGGCGGGGCAGGAAGCTATCCGTTGCCCACATAAGCTTATGTATAGCTGCTTTAATTCCCAGGTGAGCACCCCCTAGTAGTTAACCAGGTATTCTGTGCGCCAATATGCAAAATACGTGTGCTCACTTCTTTTACAACCAAAATTAGGTCCGTGCCTTATGTGTGACTTCAAACTGACGTATTCACCTACCGTCACGCCTCGCACCCACGGGCGCAACACCCCCCTCAACCCCCGCCGAATAGTGGCGAGGATGAAAACAAGTGACCTCTTTTTTCGCGGCAGCGAAATTTTTTTCCAGATTACTAGAGACTTTTAGCCTAGGATGTCTGCGGATATTTGGTGGTATCTTGCGTTTTTTAACAATCTACCTGGCCTTGACGAGGCTTAGGCGAACGGGACGAGATGTGGAACTGGGATCTTAGCTTTGATGGCCAATTTGAGAAGATAATAGCTGGAATGATTGTCGGGTTGTGCATGGATTCTTCTCCTTCTACCTTGCTCCAGCTCTAAATGCCGACATATATTCCCCAGGTTGAATGAGATATTGATGTGCCAGGTGCCACGAACTAGGTACCCACGCTCAAGGCTATCTAGCCCACGCTGTACCGCCTTGCTGCCAATGGAGAGGTGGCCGATGAACGCGGAGCCCCTGAGCAAATGGTTAGGTGATTGCCTAGCGGGGGCACAGCCAGAACCTTGGCAAGGTGTCGGGGGGGGGGGGGGGGGGTACACAGAGTTGAGTGTAGTGTCTATGTATTGTTGCAATGAAAATCATTCACATTCCCCTATATTGTACACCTGGAGCAACCGCGTCGAAGCCTCCAGCAAGGGTCGAGCGCTGGGGTCTGCGCCTGCAACCGTACGATGTCGAAATCGTCTACCGACCTGGGAAGGACATCCCAGCCTTCGTCTTGACTTCTGCTGTACCAAAAACCATGACTCTCGAAGAGATCCAGACCTACACTACAAGAGATGGAGCTCTTCAGAAGGTCCTCGAGCTGGTGAAGTCGAACCAGTGGCACACCGTCACTCAGAGACCTCAAGAAGCCGGTCAAGACGACGTCGACTAGGACGCCCTGAGATGCTTCGCAGCCATCCATGGAGATCTGACTGTCTTGGAAGACAACACCATCATCCCTCGTGGAAACTGGCTGGTCATCCCCGCTGCGCTGCAAAGCAAGGCCGTCGCCCTGGCCCATCAAGGACACCAAGGCATCGCGAAGAAATTCCTGAGAGAGAAAGTGTGGTTCCCACGCATCCATACACGAGTGGAAGCCACCATCAAGACCTGCACTGCATGCCAAGTCACCGAACCAGTTAGGCAGAAGAAACCTCTTCGGATGTCGCCGCTCCCAACTGGACCATGGGAGGAGCTGTCTGCTGACTTCTGTGCACCCGTCCCATCGGGCGAATATCTCCTTGCTGTAATCGACGACTACTCGAGATTCCCGGTTGTGCAACAAAACCAACGTCTGCTCGTGCCATCATCCCCATCCTGGACGACATCTTCCCGATGTTCGGGATTCCCGATGTCATGAGAACAGACAACGGACCTCCGTTCAATGGACATGAATTCGCTCAGCTCACAATCGGCTTCAAGCACTTCAAGATCACACCGTTGTGGCCAAGAGCTAACGGAGAAGCAGAACGTTTCATGAGAACACTATCAAAAGCTGTGAAAGCTGTTGTCGTCGAGCAACGCCCGACCAAGCAGGAAATGAACAACTTTCCACGAAACTACCGATCAAGACCGCACACTTCTTCTCAGAAGAGCCCGACTAAGCCCGACTTCACTGCACGGTCGCGCAGTGAAGACCATGCTGCCGTCTCCGATGACGGCACATCCGGATGATGGAAAACTCCGCGAGACGGACACAGCCGCGAAGAATAAGATGAAAGAACAAGCTGACCGTGGAGCCAAGACAACGAATCTTCAAATCGGAGACCAAGTTCTGATCCCCGAATTCAAGAAGGGAAAGCTGACACCTCGGTTCTGCCCAGCGCCGTACGAGGTGACCGGAATCCAAGGCACCATGGTCACCGCATCACGTGGATGTCACCAGGTGACGAGAAACGCGTCGGCATTTAAAGAGTGCCCGCACCTTCATGGACAGGACGCTGATCGCTCCGAAGAAGAGGACGAAGAACAGGCGATGGATGACATCCTCGAGTCCATGCGGCGCCACACCCCTACTCTCCGCGCCGCTGTTGCGTCCTCCCACGCCACGACCTCGTCCCCGGCGCTAGTGTGTCCTCCGACCATGCGTCACTGCGCGCGGCGCCAGCCCGTGTGGACGAAGGACTGTGCGCAGGCAATCATCTGAAGAAGGGGAGGCATGTAGTGTCTATGTACTGTTGCAATGAAAATAGTTCACATTCCCCTGTAATCATACCCTCCCGGGCTACCATATGAAATGAGCCCGTGTTGACCTTGGAATAATAAACAACTTCCCAACCGACCTTTACCGCGCGTTTTAATCGTTCGCAACGAACCAGACAATACGCGAGCTGATCCAGCTCCATAAACACCACATTGAGAAAGGGTTGCCGCCCAAAATAGTTGGATATGTCCTTTTGGTTAATGAGGGTATGTTTTTCTTTGCTATTTTTTCATTTTGTCCTTCTTTTACTGGAATTGAAGCCAGGTGCTGCTGTTATCCTCTGATAAATTCTGCTTGAATCTTATAGACAGTAAAGTGAAGACATCATGCGTTAAACGATTGCATAGAGTTTATCACCAGAGCTCTCCATTTAAATGGTTCAGAAGACTCTAAGTCGATAGAACTAAAATGCTTCGTCACAATTCTTAGATGGGCTCTACAGAAATGTTAGGGACCGCACGAATGTAGATTGTAGATCGCAATGTGGCAGCAATAGTTACTAACGTGGACAAGCCACGTTTGGCTGGAAATGTCGAGTCATTCAGTCAGAATCGATCAGTTGGACAAATCATGCAACGTAGTTTTAAACATGCTTGCTTGCAAACTTTAATAAATGAGAGGCTCGACGCCAGGAGCTGCAGTCTCCGCAGGTCGCGCAGCGTCCGCTCGTGGCCCGTAGCCAACGGGTGCAGAAAAATGATAACGCATCTGGAAGAAGTACCTCTGAACGCTTTAGGACGTCAAATGGTAGACGTAGGCGGTAGTTCGGGCATGTGCTTGACTGGCGCCATTTTAGGTTAATGGTAAGCGCGGATTGGTATTCAAAGCGCCGGGAAGTGGTGCTGAAATTTGGTGGTGGAACTGGAGAGTAAAGGGAAGAATCTCTATTTCTGGTGCCGCTGAAGCCGTTAATCTGCCCAGAGGACAATCTCAAAGCTGGAAAATGATACGCCCAGTTTAATCTTTGAATTGTACGAATTGGGTTTGAATGATGTCAGTTATCATTATATCTTTCTCAGCAGACATGAGATTGCCTTGCTCGTTTTTTAGGTAATTTTGATCCACTATATTGAACACTGAGACCCTGAATTTTTTCCGGGTACGGATCCCCTTGCGTAGAACAGTACGGAACACATATATGTTGTTTCCAGTCAAGGGCTGAAGGGCCATTCCGTTCCACCGGCGGGTGTCTTCCGGCTGCTATCCTGGCACCAGAGGGTGAGATCCCCTGTCGATCTAGAGGGCCTTAGAGGGTACATCATATCACATTGGTCCACCTCTCTGATGCGGGAGGCCTTCTGACCGCACAGTTGCCCCGGACCCACGTATAAATAATCATTAACGCAGCATTTCTGATCACTGCAGGTGGTCCAATAACTGCACCACAGACTTAAGTTCAGCCTAACGGGCCCATGCTGGAACTGTGCTGGGGGACCCACCGTTCGGTACTGGGGGTCTTGAGTGGCACAGGACCCTTCTTAATGTAAACATTCAACACAAGTTCGCATGTCTTCCTTCATTGTCAGAGGGCCCCGACCAACGCAAGAGGTCCTCTGTCATTCGAGTTGCCATCCCCGTTCCTGTGAGCAAATGTTCCCATGGCCGACTCGAGGCCCATGATCGTGCCAATACCCTGTAACGCACTGGGCCCCTGACCGGTACAGGAACCTCCCACTTTTGCAGTGGCCCGGACCGACGCAAATCATGGGCCCCGCCTTGTTCCTGCTTCGGAAATAGGCCCCAAAAACTAACACCGACTCGGAATCGACTGTTTGTTGATTATGATCTCTGGCTAAAACAGAGGAACGCTCCGTCTGAGGGGTCTCCAATCAGTACAAGAGATCTTTTAACTGACCTTTGAGATCACAGCCTACGAGCGTGTGTCCTTAATGTGTCCCAAAGCCAACACGTCGAGCCCTTAAATCTTCCAGTCGGGACCTTAATCTTTGGTCTTAAGAGGCCCTTCGGGCCCTCTTCAGGCTCCCTTAAACACCGCTCCTGGCCGATTCCGGGCCGCTTGCCGACACAGGACCCTTGTTCGGCACTGTTGCCCTTGATAGATACAGGAGCCCTTCTTTTTGTCAGGGATCCCGAACATTGGAAATCGTGGGCCCCGGTCTCGTTCCCGCTTGGGAATTGGCTCCCTAGGCTAGGTCCATGGCTCGGACGGACATGGAGCCGACTATTTGGCTCCGTGATTAGGCCATATGTAATAGGGACAGAGAACTCCAGTAAGAAGGCCCTAATAGAAGTCCTCGAACTGATATTTCAGGTCACGGCACTACGGTTTCAGGGCCGGGCTCGATTTCAATCGGGCCATTGATCTTTGGCCCCAAGGGGCCCTTCGAGCCCCCCTTCGGACTTCCGAAAGCACGGCTCATGGCGACTCAGATAACTTGCTGACATAGAATTCCCCGCTATGCACTGCAGGCACCTGACCGGCACTCCTGGTTTCAGTGAGCCCAACAAATGCAAATCGCGAACTCAGTCTTGCTCGTCCTTGGGAAGTGGCACTGCAGGGCTCAGACCGACATGTAGCCGACTGTTCGGTGTTGGTGGCCTCTGGCCCAAATAGAGGTTCGCACTGTCCCAGGGGTTCCCAATCGATATGAGAAGTTATCTAGCCGACATTTGAGGTCACGGTGTTACTGATGGAAGGGCATCCGTGATGTTACCTACGACCAGTCATTCGAGCCGTGGCATCCAATCAAGAGGATAAAAAGCTTTCATGGCCCTCTGCTGGGCACAGGGACCCAGACCAAAGCAAACCGTGGCCCTCGGCCTTGCTCCTGTTTGGGAAATGAGCCCCCAGCGGTCAAATTAACAAGGAGCCAATTGTTCAGTGTTCGTGGT